AATGATGCTATTTAGGCCCTGCCAGAATATTATCAGCGCCGCAGCGGCCTTAGTGTCGTTGTGGCATTGTGCTGAGGCAAGGACCTAGTTGACCCTATTATGTTTCTTGTTTTATTTATGCTTTGTTTGTTGGTCAATAAATTATTTCTTTCTTTCTATTTTCCGAATATCCGACCAAAAAGTGCTATTTCCATTTTTAATTACTTAATTTTGTGATTTTTATTAATAACAATAATAAATAACTTTACCCTAAAAATAAGTGGCCTCCTCATGAATTACCTCAATAAATACACTTCACATACATAATCAAATCAAAGAAAGATAGGGTATAGCCGAGTTTCCACTCGAATTAAAGCGCCCGTCTGAGGATGTAACCTCCACCTTACGGAACACCACAACACTACCTCTAACTGCTGTGTTAAGTCAGAAGTACCTTTTGATTTATCATAACAGTACTGTGAATGAACGTAAGATGGCGCTTTCATCATTTCTGGTAATACTGATCTACATAGGTTTCAGTAGAGTTTTTGGCGGGATTTCATCGAGTGCGGTTGGCGTCTTATTTTAATTATTCTTAAATTCATTCATAGTGGATATTGTGAAATATAATTCGTGTGATTTTGTGTTACAACCATCTACGCAACTGAAGAATTAGTGGAATCTTTAAAATATACGCTATTGTGGTCAAGTGGACGCGAGAACTTTATTGTAGTGTTGACTACCTCACAGAAGCTTATCGAAAAAACCAACTCGATACATTTCGTGCCAAACACTCCAAGAAACAATAGAATGCGTCACACCAGCATTGTAATCTAAAAAAAAGGAGATTAAGATTTGTATTTATGTATACGATACGACTGAAGGACTTGTAACCATGGTCATGAATAAATTATATTAAAAAAAATTGGTTTCAGTACTGTGTGTGCTTCTGGCGCTCCACGACACGCCAACGACACGTAAATGTGTTTCTGCCATAAGTCCATGTCTATTCATCTATCCATGGAGCACAAACGACCATTCATTCATGCATGAATGAAATGCGTTCAAAAGTTACGCGCTGAGTGTAATTTTTACCCTGACTTTAAAATTTTAACATAATTCAATTAAATTTTTGGTGATTATGGCTGCGTCTCATTACGTGACGATTCTGCCAATGTCTGAGTTAAAGGAGACAAGGTATATGTTGAGCCAATTTTAACCTAAAATGTATGAGTCATATGCATGAAGTTATAGATAATACTGGAGGCCAAACTCCTCCATACCTACTTGAAGCAAATATAATTGCATTCTATCTCGCTCCGTAGGTCCCCCTCCTCTCTTTCTAAATAGGGTATCTACACAACCACTAAGGAAAGGAGACAAGTTTTTTTAAACTAGTAAAAAACGTATTAATATCTGTGTTGATTTATCAAAAATTTACACATTGGCGAAGATATTAATTACGGAATCATGTATCAAAGTAAAATGGCCATTGTTAATTATAGATTTACATTAATTTTGCTATTGTTTACCTAACTGATATTTTTTTTTTCATTTTATTTGCTTAGGAAAGATTGTGTTACATTAGAATCTAAATTAATTTATTTAACCCAATGTTATTTAAAAACAAATAATACAAGCCAATTTCAAATTAATCAAAAACTTAGTAGTATGGAAATTCGGGTTTGCACAAAATTCTTCATACAAAACGGAAATTTAATACTTACAGACCAATATTTTAAATGAACCGACTTTAAAATGAAAATAATATAGGTACCGTATTTCACATTCATCAATTAATTTTAGTATAGTATTTGCCAGGCGGTGTGATGCAGAATAAAACACAATTTCTCCTCACCTACAATCCTACCAAATTTTATTGTTATAAGCTCTCAGCAAATATTTTACACCTATGTCACGTCACTCCACGGATTTACTCATCACATTGCTTTTCTTACATTCTCAGGTGTAATTTATATTTTGTAGATAGAAATAAAACAACGGTTATAAATACACAATCATTTTAATATTTACATTTATAAGTTACTAAAAAGTACAGTTTTATGACGTTTTTGGCGTTTCCCTCATAAAGTAATAAACGTCATCATCATAAATTTATTTCATGCATGTATGTTTGCCCGGATGTATAACTCTAATCTATAGGTACTCCAGCCATCTTAGCTAGGCAAGAATGTATGTAAACAATAAATTTAAACGTAATTATTCTACAAATAGAGACTTCTAGTGCCATATATCACACTTGAACAATATAAGTAAACTATTAATGAAGTACAAATATTTCTAAAACATGTAATAAAAAACTTATTTTTTAAGTTAAATATGGGTTTGCTTATAAAAGTTCTTTCCATAAGATGGCTGAAGTATATACATAGATTTTTACTTACCACATCAGAATAAAAGGGAATAGCTGTATGTTTTAATTAATTCTCCATTATATATAACCAGTAACCACAGAAATTATTACTGCATATTTTTGCACTTTCATACACTTTATACTTGATAGCCATTGGCTTCTCCTTGTTGGTTCCTTAGGAAAACTAAAAATAGAATAAAAATAGTAAGTTTGTGTTTTATTGTTAATAGCAATGAAGGCAACAATAAATACGTAACATGAATAAAATATAATAACATAAGTGTTTTACAATGTGCTCGTACTAATAAAATAATTCTGTCCTATTTTAAGGGTTTTCGTATTACGAAAACCACTTTATCCGCGTTTCATGGTCACCCTTTTAGTGTTTACTTCACAATGCCAATTGTTGTTTAGTTAGTAAAATTCTGAAATATTAGTACCGAAACCTTTGAATAATAGGAATTTGGAAAGTAAATGATAGAAAAATAATGGGTTTTATGTTAAAATAAGTGTTAAAAAGATTTTTTTTGATAAAATGTAAGCAATTATCAATTAAGATAACTTATGACTCACCTGTGAAATATCAAGAAATATCCAGGATAGTGTTTACTTCCACAACCTAGCCCTACACATTTTTGAACCATTTTTCACGTTTTGATAGCGAGAAAAGTCCTAATATGAATCACAACTTTCGAGTCGACAAAATTAGATATTGACATCCATAGGGACACGAAAAAAGTATCGATACTTTGTGGTATCGAGTACTTTTCCTTTCGATACCGATACTTTTGTACTCGATACTTTGTATTCGATACTTTTACTTATTGAGTACTTTATGGCAAGTAAGTATCGATACTTTTAAAATTTGGACAAGCGCCTCATATTGTTATGATATATTCAAATTCTTTCCAATCTGTGACTGTGTTTATTTTGCGCTTTGTTTTGTTTCATAGTTATTTATTTAGCGACCATATTGTTAGGAATTGTGATTGATGATTCGCCGTTTATTGTGCTTTTCGCTTGACTGCTTTTGATGTATTCAAGTGTAACACTATTATTCTGTCTGTGCTGTGTATATCTATTTGAAACCACGGACCTGAAAAAAAGACGGACGTAACCTCTTCTATAATTATAATATTGAGTGAAGCATGCCAATGGCCGCCGTTAACTGCGTGTCAGATTCAAGTAACATTTTAATTATTAATGTGATATTAATGAACACTTTTTAAGTGTCAGAAATCACAGCTATTTTCTTTTCATTATATAATATAGCAATTTGTGAATTTATATGTCCTTTTACTGTTATTATACGTACTATAATAAAATTGGATTGTTTTTCTTTCAATTTTTAACCGGGGGGGGGGGGGGGGGGTTGCTCATCGGGCCACAGAGGATCCGATAAGGCCATATGAAATGTACTCGATACTTTGAAGTATCGATACTTTTGTTTCGATACTTTTACGAGTACGATACTTTTTTACCGATACTACTCATGAGTACAGTATCGATACTTTCTATTCGATATCGTGTCCCTAGACATCCACCATATTGACACATGCTGTGTTACCATTGTTTGAAAATGCCGGCTACCACAATAATAGGGAAATTAAGAAAAAAAAAATCCTATGATTTAATCAAGGCAATTGTTATACCATAACAATTGTAATTGTTATACTGGGATATAATTTTACAAATAAATAGTTTTAGTAATAATTCACCAGATTTTAAAATAACCCGGGAATATTGAATCATCATCATCATCATTTCAGCCGAACGACGTCCACTGTTGGACATAGGCCTCCCCCATGGATTTCCACAACGATAATATTGAATATTGAATAATTAGATTGAAATGAGTCAACAAAGGTCACGAATTTCTATTTAATGTAACTGCATATTATATTTGCGTACAATTTTTTAGTAAAGGTTTAATTAAATATTATGGTTGCATAATATTATAAATCGTTCATCTTGGATTCGATTTCAGAGTAGTTTTAATGTACAAACTAATTCATAGATAAACTTTCAAGTCTAATAATGTTAACGTCAGAGAGTTCATATTATTAGTGTTGTCAAAAAGTTTGCTAAACAGAGATTTGCTAACTAATATTATAATTGAATGTCTAAAATAGCTAATATCAGTAACTGACCTGATGGGGCCTGCCGGCCTATTCGTTAACTTTTTTTTACATTTACCCCCTTATTAAGAAACAAGGAATAAGCTTAGACTAGTTACGGCGTGTTTTGTTCATGTCACTCGAGTGCCATTTGTCATTCAAAAGATAGAGACAAATCATGAACTAACTAATCAAAGCGTAGTCTTCGTTTATTAATAAGGGGGTTAGAGTGTGTAACTAAAAAGACAATTGCAAATCCACCGATACTTTTCAGAACAAGTCATCGTAGTGGCCTTAAAATAAAGCAGCGTGCATGCCTATGGTCACGGGCAAATTTACGTTTATAAGATAGCCACCCAGAAGTCCAACGAAAGGTCAATTGCGGTCATACCTACTTGGCTTCAACTAATAGTACTGAGTTTGGCCTCCAGTTATTACTATAGCTTCATGGTCATATGTCACATTTGACATGTAACGCCTGGAGTGGAGCGTAGATTTGGAACGTAGTCCAGTGACAATGACAGATCGTCGCGATATCAAAAAATTTAAAGATGTCATTCATGTGATTAATAAACGTTTGTAAATAAATAGCTGACGACTTGGATTAACTCATGGTCCTCGGTCAGCAGTCCTGCTCGCAACACGTCATTAGTATTTTAGTGAAACAGTGCCAAAGTATTATATAGACATTATAACCAAAAAACAAGAACAATTTTTCTACTACAATTTTCTTAAAATTATACAGAACTCTTCAATTATGGACACAAGGTATGAAGCATGACAATTATTATAACATATAAATATATAAGTACCGTATATGCGCTCCATAATATTGATTATTAATATGTAATAAATGAACACAATGCAATTTATTATTGGCCTGATCCAATGCTTCGCTTTAGAAAGTTTATTGATATTTTTATAAACTAATAAATATAAACTATGTTTACTTACAGCAATATTATGTAAATAATCGAATATTTTTGGTTTCTCTTTTAACTCATTATTCAAACCTAATATAACACTTTCCCAGTCTTAATACAGCCATCCTTTTCTCCTTCATATTTATTTATCTTTCTAATATGGGTTGCCTGGAAGAGATTGCTGCCTACCAATAAGGGCACCTATATTGTATACTTTCCGTCTATCATGTTTTTAATTTACTTGTTGGTCTTGTATGGTGTATTACAATAAAGAATATTATTATTATACCTTATATCAAAACTACTTAACCACCAATCTGTTCACAAGTTTATTTCTACAATAAGCATTTTTGTGGTGCTCTAGCAACTTAATATTTTATTATTTCGTCCAGTTCATAACACTGAAGCAACATTTATATCTATAAAGAATATTTTATGAGAAAATAATCCACGTGGTCCAGGAAGCAGATGAGGTTCAAACCCAGACCCTTTGCCATCGGGGCAAATGCCCTGACCAGTTCTGCTACCATGAACTTAATGGTTGTGTCAAATTTCCTCTTGTATTTCTTAGGCTGCAAGGCATATTTATTTTACTTACAATATTTAAACTTTATAGATTTGCAGGTTTATTTTGTGTAATGTACATAAAAAATAAAAAAGCCTTTATTAAAGCTACCAGTTTCTAAACAATGATTAAGAATTTTAAAACTTTAGTAACAAATGTAGCGTGTCAGTGACACAAGTAGGGTTGCAACGATATATCGGAATATCGATATTATCGATAATATCGAGACCAAAATATCGATATTTATATCGATATTTAAAATTCACTGATATCGATAATATCGATATCGGAAATTCCAAAATATCGATATTTCGTAGACTTAATTTGAACACAATAATATCAATTAATTTACCTGCTATGACTATCTAAATTGAATAATATCGAAATAACTGTTGCTTTGAAATTGCAAGAGCTTATAGATGTATTAAAAAAATCTTGAACCCCAAGAAATATACTAAACTGGTGTGGACTCTGGCATGTTTCTCTAAACCTAAAATTAAATTTAACGACAGTGTATCCTTGTCATTCTCTATACAGAATGAAAAGGAGAGACTGATGTTAAATTTAGTTTTAAATTTAGATAATCATGCCAGAATCGACACCAACGTTTAAAGGTATAATCGTATACCTAATGGTAACTCATGCACTTAAATAAAATCCTTGCCTCTCTAGATAATTGTCAACTACTGATTAATTGAAATTTAATATCATTGTAATATAACACAAAATAAAATTAAGAATCTTATACAAATCGTAAATTTTTTAAGCTCGCCAAGTCAAGAAAGTAAGATAGGTATAGTAATTTTGGAAGCTTTGGACTTACCCTATTCTGAAGCCTGATGTGTAGGATTTACTAATTCATAACAATTGTTTTTCATATGATTATCTATTCTGATTTTGGCTGCGTGCAAATATTTTAAACAAAATAAATGTCTTTGATTCGAAATTGCTTTTGATTTGATACTTCTTACAGTGCTATAAAAATATAGAAAATATTGTGTTGGAAATGTTGGAATGGCTGACATATCTGATCGGATATCGATATTTACCTGCCCACATTATAAATATCGATATTTCGGAAACCTTTGCTTCCTTAATCTTAGGTTTTTGCTTTGCAAATTTAATACAAAGCAAAAAAAAGAAAAAAATATCGATATATCAATATTATCGAGTTAAAATGATCAATATATCGGATATCGATATTTGCCTGACTTCGATATAAATATCGACATAAATATCGATATTTCAAAAGACTTTGCATCCCTAGACACAAGGCCTCCCCTAGCCTTTACAGGATGTCTAGTTGTTGTTCATAATATATCTTTGAAAAAATACTGTTTCTAATCTTTTCCACTCAGATTTTTAAGGGCTATTCTTCTCCAGTGTATACTTACACTTGTATAATGTACCTATTTGTATGTACACAATAACTGTTTGTTTCTGTTAACTAGAACATAAAAATATTATTATCATTCATTTATCATTTCACTTTTTATAACATGTTAAAATTTGCAGCAATGAACACAAAAGACTTGACTACATTTGCTGGAGGGATTACTTCATGGCCATTGCTTTTTTGGCTGCAAAACGAAGCAAAGACCCTGTCTGCCAAGTTGGAGCTTGTATTGTTAACAAAGAAAACAAAATTATGGGCATTGGGTAAAAAATGTAACCATTATATTATGTAAGTTTTAATAAATTTAAGAGAGATAGGACATAGAGGATTTTCTGCTAGAATTGGAGGGCCCGTCTGAGAAAGTAATCTCCACCCTAATGAAGTTGTTGTCGTGTTTCTGTAGGTGAGTAAGGTTCTAGGGCTCCATAGTGTGAGGGATTGGGTCAGGAAAGCCTATGGTAGCCACTTTTCATCATGCGAACCATAAGGTTGTTTGCCACTCTATTAACATATAAAATAAAGTGTCTTTCGCAAAAAGATTAAAAAATAGGCTGCTTGTTAGTAAGCATTAAGATAGTGTCACCATTCCTTGCCCTTAACTCACACTTTGATATAAATATTATTTTTTTCCCCAGGTATAATGGTATGCCTAACGGTTGCTGCGACGATTTTTTCCCATGGGGCAAGAACTCACCGATACCAACAGAAACTAAGGCTTTATATGGTAAGCTCCTATGATGTACAAGTCTTTAGTTGAATATCGGAAACACATTATATTGCCAGCCGATCCTCAACAATACTAACTTCTGAAACTATATGTGACTGGGAATCAAATAAATACATAGAATACACTAGATTGTTATCAAGCTTGCATGAACTGAGTAGTTGCAGAAACTGTTATAGACAACCTATTTTTCAGACATCATAATTATAAAGCTGGCTGGCCCATCTCAGATACCTATGGCGATGTTAGTCATTGTTATACTCATTATTATATAAATAATAAATAAATAATATTTCCAACACTCACACCAATTAGCCTAACCCCAAAGTAAGCACTATAAGGCTTGTGTTATGGGATACTAGGGTAACGGATAAAATACATATTCAACATACATATATAAGTATATTTATATAGAATTACATATTAAATATGCATGACTGGAGTACAAATGCTCGTATTCATTATACAAACATCTTCCCCCATCGGGATTCGAACCCGGGACCTCTCGAGTCGGCGACACCATGAAACCCGGCGAACAAACCACTCGGCCACGGAGATCGTCAAATTATATTATAATTATGTCTGTTTTAATGTTATAGTCTGTGAAAAAATGCTGATATTGATATATATTACTAGTGGCCCGCCCTCGCTCCGATCCGGTGTAGACTATAGTTTTTGTTCTCAGGCTTGTTTTATACACAATGACATTCTTCTAAAGCCCGTCACAGACGTAGCTATAATATATGTTGCCTTGTCAGGAACGAAAAATAGAACCATCTGGGTAGAGTCGCATATAAAACAAAAAAAAAACTTGTGGCGAATTTAATTTGTATCGTGATTTGTCATCCAATAAATTTGCACAGTATTTTAGGAGAGGGAGGGCGAGAGAGAAATGCTCGTGCGCGCTTGAGAGCCGGAGATCGAGCAGGCGTTCAGAGAAAAGTTGAACATTCTGTATTAAAAATATATACTAATATGCCAAAATATATCCTGTCACAGACGTAGCTATAATATATATTAATATATCGAGATATTATATTAAACAAACCACCACAGACGGGAGCTGTACTATAATATATACTTTGGCAGGCGTTCGGTGAAAAATGGAACAGCCCGTATCATAAAAATATATCAAAATATATATTAATATGGCAAAATATACACTAATATGCCAAAATATATCTGTCGACATATTTTGGTGACGTCATAGAAATATATATTATAGCTGCGTGTGCGGTCACTCGAAAATTTATATTGAAAATATGTTGTGATATGTCTTGCTATGATTCATATTAATATATATTATAGCTACGTCTGTGACGGGCTTAATACCTAATTACAATAGGCACACGCCGCCAGGCTCCGCCCGGTAGCGTCGGAACCGCTATATCCCTACATTTTAAATCTGTAATATCTTCGAGAATATTCATTTAAATTACATGCCAAATTGATCTATGTATATTAAATGTACAATGTATTTATAGTACTTAATTGAATAAGGATGTTGTATTGCTGAAAATCGCTTCGTAAATAAGCTATTATTTCTCGTAAAAAGTATAGGATAAAAAATGGTTATTGTGGGTTATCCTAAGAGATAGACATATACCGTCGCGGACTTTTTTTGCAGGCCTTTTTGAGGTGTACAATACTGTAGTATATAATTTTGATCTATCTCGTAGGGTTCAGTTAGCGTTTACAATGTAACAGATTTGGGACGTTTTAAAATATATCCATGTTTCTATGAGTCGAAACTCATGAAACGTGCCTACATGTGGTCCCTCACCGATTTGACCTACTACCAGTACCTCGAATCGGTGGGAGCAGCTCCACAACGGTAAAAGTTCAGAAGTTGAGGGGTTGGTTTGTGAGGGGCGGCCGAAGCCATGTAAAAGTATTCGTAAGTTGAATTCTTTGCCCGCGCACGTGTTCCCCTCCTTCCTACAATCTGGGGTCCTTTAAGAGAGGCGTGCAGAAGCAATTTTGCAGGCCGGCAAGGTGAGGATGGTTGGTGTACCAGTTTATAACTGCTGTACCGGCTATCTTCGTGTTTGTACTTTATCAACACTTAACGTCAGAGTCATTTGCCTACCTGGCTACGTTCCTGACAATAGTTTTATTTCATTTACTTTGTATTTTTATTGCAAATCGTAAAGTAGTAATTAGTTTTCATAAATATACATCGTTATACATATATTGCATGATTGATGCAATACTGACATATTAGCGCTTAGGTTATCGTAAGATAGCGTTGGAAGTTAGCACACATACCTATAGCTATTATGATAAGGACGTGCGCTGAGAAAGTATTTTCCAGAACTCTTTTCTAAAGGAGTAAAACGAAAACCGGCGTTTAAAAGTTATCGCGGACGAACGGCGGCCGCTAGTAAAATAGTTGGCGTGAGCACAATCTTTTGCCTGTATGTCTTAAGTGCCAATAAGTCAGTATTCTATTAAACGTATGATTGTTTCATTCAATAGTGTGCCACGCCGAAATGAACGCTATACTTAACAAAAACTCTGCAGACGTCAAGGATTGCACGATATTCGTGGGATTATTCCCTTGCAATGAATGCGCCAAGATTATCATACAGAGCGGCATCAGGGAGGTGGTATATTTATCCGATGAAAAGGCGCACAAGCCCAGCTACCAAGCGTCCAAGAGGATGTTCGACGCCGCTGGCATCAAGTACTGGTAAGACTCACGGGGTAGGGGATGGGTTCAGGGGAGGCAACGACGCGAGTGATATATTTTGTATCGTAAGCATCTGTAGGCAATGGTGCCGGGCTATGGCATAGCATATGGCTTGTTTGCCACCCTTTGATCATAAAAAACACTGCAAACTAGTTTATTTGCCCTTTTCCTTCAACAGACTGAGTATTTTTGCTGGGTATACAATACACCCCAACAAACGCAAGTTTATTTGTTTGTGGTTTTCCTCAAGAAGTATGCCGATAACTAAGCAGTGCAGTGCTGTCTCTGACCTATTGGAGGCCCTGGGCATATTAGGATAATGGGGCCCCTATGACCCCCGTTTGGTGATCTAATAAGAACTAGGGACTTTGTATTTGTGATCTGAGGTGCCCACCTATCGATCACGGGACCCTGGGCACTTGCCCAAAGTGCCCACTGGGAAAGACGGGTCTGACTATAAGTCTTGTTAAAAAGTCATCTATAAAGAAGAAAAAGAAAGACAATACACATACTTGCTATATTTATTTATTATTGATGATGATTATTTGTAAATCAATTAATTTTAATTGATTGTTTTGTTTTTAATGGGTGATATGGGCTGCTGTTGTCAGAAATAAATATTTTTATTATTTTATTTATTTATACTGATATGGCGCGGTGAATCCTTTGTGTTGGACAGCCTACATACAGGGACGGATTTAGAGGTGGGGGGGCGGGGGGGGGGCTGGGACAACGAAGTAGTGAAAGACCCTAAACCTGGGGCGGATTTGCTCACTCCTCCCCCTGGTTTGGTGACCCGTCGGAATTTATCTCTATTGTGGGGGCCACAGCTTCGTCTGCACTGCCTTAAATCCGATCCTGTCTGCATACAATATCATTCAACAATTTCCATTATTTTTCAGGCAATACACACCTCAGACCGACAAAATCGTGATAGACTTTAAGAAACTCAAGCTTTCGGAAAGCCCTTCTAAGGCAGAAATTGAAAAACTCACATTAAATGATGTGTAACACCCAATGAAAAGGTTGAAAATATCTCCGTTCTAATAGAACGGGAGCATAATAAGCAAATTATGTGATATTTTATGGTTACTTGGACAACTCGGAATATAATTTTTTGACGAGCTTTTGCATTGTGAACAAATGTGATAAATAAGAATAAATACAATTAAAGAAATACATCATTGTATTTTATCTCTAATGTTTTCTTAATGAATTATATTAAATTTACATTTAATTTTGTTTTATTGACAGCTACAGACATCAGCGTCAGCCTATTAATGTCTCCACTGCTGTGGCACAGGCCTTCCATCCATAGGATGGAATAGGGATATTGGGCCATGACCCACCACGCGGGTTTTGATTCAGTTGCAGCCGCAATCAACGGCTTAATAGAATAAGAGCCCCACAGGGCCGCCAGACCTTACATAATTTCTGGTGGACAAAATATGTACAATCGAGTTGTATTAGTGTGTACAATGAACGTATAGATACTCACTTACCTGTGCCTTAAGTCAATTCTCGGGTATCAGGTGGCACGGGTTCTTACATAATGTTATAGAGAGATCATTGTAAACAATTTGAAATTAATGCTACAGAGGCACCTTCTATCGGCAGTATGTTTTGCCAAACTCTTTTTATATCGGAAGCAAAAAACAACCTTACTTAATTTTTGCAATAATTTTGATTGTGAGAAATTATTTAATTATTGTTGAAAGCTTCCTGTAGACTATTTACTAGATAACTTTAAAGAAGCTGTATAAAAAAAAGTACCGTCCACGCATACAACATGAGACAGTTTTAAATTTCAATCAAAGTCATATCTTTTTAAACTTTTTTAATTTAACACTAATTTGATTTTAACTAGACTTGCAACGAATATTCGGTTACTATTCGGTATTCGGCCTATTCGGCTGCTTTTATTATATTCGGCCGAATGCCAAATACCTACTTAATATTCGGCCGAATACCGAATACTTAAATAATATATTTTGTCATAGTGAAATAATTGGTAAAATGAAAAATTAAAATCGATTGATAACATATATATTCATATTTTCATTTTTGTTATATATAATCATTTAAGTAGTCATTGGTACATAACCCTGGTACATAATCATCTTCTGAATTGGAAAAATGGAGGATTCTATATATTTGAATTATTGTGGTAATCAAAATTTAAAAGGGTAAGGTTCTCATGTCTTTTATAATCATTTATTAAGTAGTCATTGGTATATAAAACAGGTACATAATTTAATCATTTTCTGTATTAAACAAGTAAAAAAAAATCTAAGCATTTGAATTATTTTCATAATCAAAATTTAGAAGGGGAAGGTTATGGTGCAGAAAGACTAACTTTTCTGCATTTTTAGGAAGTAGTTTACTTCTTTTCTTCTAGTAGACCATCCCAGCTTTAGAGAAAAGGCGCTCTGAATAAACACTACTTCCTGGCGCCATCTTATCTTACACAAACACGGAAATTCAAATTTCTTTCGAGAAGGTATGAGATGGTATAGGTACGTCAAAATCTTACTTCCTTTACTAACAGTCTGAGGAGTGATTCTTACGTAAGCTGTAGAGAAAATTGCAAATAATTTGTATTTTATAATACAAATTATTGGCAATTGTATAAATATAATAAAATAGTATTATTACTACTAATAAGTAATACACAACCTTACTTACAGTCTGAGACTAGGAGTATGTTCCTAAACTCCGCCAGTATAATGGCCAGTATAAAATGACGTCACGATTGGTCGCCATATTAAACTCTCTATCTCGTCTTACTTCGTTGTGATTGTAACTTGATTGGTTTTTATCTAACACGCTTTGGACATTGGAACACGATTATCGGAATTTTCAATTAGTATGGATGAACTGGAATCCTGTTTTCTACGAAGCGTGGACAACTTTGGGTGATTTGTGGTCGCTCCGTTTTACATAGAAGACAATTTACTATAACGAACAAAATGTCTGAAAAAACCCCATCCCATGCGGAGATTTTTCGACTTCTCTAGCGCGGCAGAATAATATAAGGGGGCACCCTTGCACCTTGTGAAGTACTCCCATAATATCTGAGCCCCCTATGTAGGGTCCAACTAACTAACAAACTAAATAATTCCCTTGTTTCATTAATGTTCGTTCGTTGTAGTACTTGTACCTATTTGTACCTTGTAACTTAAAATAACTTAAGACCCCCGGGATGGAATTTGATGCGCTTTGGCACAGATAATCATGACTATAATACCTTTCAAACAAATGTAGTTTAAGTCGTGGTTGACGTGGGTGCAGCGTCCATACGTTTTTGCCCAATGACCTTTGTTAAATACATGTATTATACCTTGGTGTAAACGCGGGGTTAGAGAAAACAATCCGTCATCATAAATACAAGTAGGCCCCAATCGCCTCATACTAAAATGCATAATATGCGACGTACCTTTATTCTCTTTTGTTCGATTCATTAGTTCGATCGTCGAACTACTGAGATTTTATTGTCTTATTTGTTTGACCGTCGTCAAACTTATTTTCTTTATCCATTTTCATTACCAGAACCTCTTAGTTACGCATGGTCTCCTGGTACTTTTTTCAAAATAGTGATTTTATAAATGTTTATGGATATAAGCAATATTGATAAGGGGATATACACCCGTGGTAGAGAGAGATTATTAAAACTTTTATTGTTTTTTTATTTCTTCATAGTCTATCTACATGCTATCCACAGTAGAACCATAAATATGGATCCATTTCATAATGGAGTCAAGACCATAAAAGTACGGACTTAAAAGTTCACAGAATATTAATTTTAAGGATATCGAAGCATCATATAAGATCGCTCATGGAAGATTCGAACACGAAAAGTCATCTAATTAATAACAAAATTTCAAAATAAGGTACTAATTGATTTACGTTACAAACCGCGATTGTAACTGCAAACACATAATATTAACACTAACAAATTGATATAGTGATCAAATATACGCAATAAACAAAGTTCAAAACGGAACCAAAATATGGCGTACCAATTTTTTTTACAATGTATACATTCAAACAATTTTACCAATGATTTCACCAGTTATTCCATTGATTAGACAACCTCCAGACGGCTTGAGCATTCATAAACTAACCTACAAAAGTTGTGGTGGTAAGTAAATGAAAGGAAAAATGGAAATTTGTAAAATAAAATTTTATTATTACTTTATTTACAAGATGACAGGGACAATACTCCAATCACATGTCTTGAATATATTAAAACTACCTAGTATCGCCCGGTGGATTACTATTCCTCCGTGTCGAACACAATACATAATCAAATATGTAAACCCGCAGTAACTTTTGAACTAATATCAGTACATACCGGTTCAAAATAAATTTCAAGTACCTATTATGTAAAATTATTAGCTATGTTAAACTAGTTTCCATATAAGTTTGACATCATACAGGCTCAAAAATATTAGGTCAAGTATAGTATAGATATAAATTCCTAAATAATCGGATTCTAAACATTCAAAAAATTATTAAGTAAACATATTTTGTGTGTAAATTATTTGAATGGATTGCAGCTTAACCATGAATAGAACTGAATGATGAATTTGTCGATACTAGGGGTAAAGTTGTTATTCAGCAAGCATAATAGGGAAGATGCATATATAATATTTATGAAAAATTTATGATTAAAATGTTAAAAAAATATAAAAGAAATGCCACTGCAACGTTTTTATTTTACATAATGTTGTTTTTTAACAATTATTACGAATTAAAAATACTTGCAACGGAACGTATTTTAAAACACCAATCAGCGATTAGTGACGTCCCTCCTGTTATGACAACTTCTTTGAGGTTAAGGTTGTTAAAGTAAATATTATTAAGGGAATATTTATTGCGTTTTTTTACATTTAATAAAAATGGAAGTTGCGTTTATCAAAGCAGACTCCAGGAATTTACCAAGAGTTAGCGTTGACATGGTTATAACTTTTTTTGTCCAAAGTGCAGAGTTTTTAAGTGTAGAAATGAAAGGGACTAAATTACAACGGTATGTAAAAATCGTAGTTGTTATACTTCGTATTTTATTCAGCGGCTTCTACAAATCTCACGGCGATAATGCAATCGCTATGTCCAAATTAAAAGAGATGGAGAATTATGTACAGTAAAAGGTCGCGTTCTCCGGAGCATAAAGTACGTAAAGAAGGTTATCGTGTTACAGTTATTTTAAATGAAACGCAAAGCTTGGTTCAGTCCTGCCAATGTGAAGATTGTGCCACACATTTTAAACTTTATCTAATTTTTCACGTCATTCTCCGACTGTAAAATTAAAAATATGTTATAGACAGGTTTTGTAAGTATTAGGTAGGTTACTAATGCGTTTTTACGTACAAGCAGATTAATTAAGCATATAACAAGTATATTCGCCGACTTACGTCAAAGTGATCTTCTCAGCATCGAATAATGGTCTTTGGAGAATAATTGTCATTTCTCTTCGCAGCTTGAAACCACTTTTTTTCAGTTTTGGGTCAGAAGTTCCAGTTAAAAACAATTTATTTGGGAACTTTGTTGAAGTAGATTGGCACAAAACACGAGTCAACACGGATTTTTTTCGGAATATTAGTGGTATTGTTATGATCACATGATGTTCATGGATAGTCCATTTTAAATTTTTCAAAAAAATATTTCGAAATTCGAAAAAATATGCAAAAGTATGAAAATTTAAAGCCAGCAAAGAACAATTACGACCAGTGACAGACAGGAGTGACGTCATCGCAACCATAGGTTCGTTTTCGCGCGAAAATTTAAATTGTCAATTTAAAACCGCATTTTTTCCGATAAATCACAATGTTTTAATTTTTTAATATATCTGTGGTTTATTCTAGATGGAATTCTTTAAAATGGAAACAAAAATAAAAATATTACATCTTCCCTATTCGACTTGCAAATAATGGGAGTTGAATTCCAAAATACATTTAACTTTCACAATTATCATGTGCTATCGTTCTATATTGTGACACTTTAATTTCTCTCATATATGTAAAGAATCTTTCTTTCTAGGTATTTTATACTTGAAGGTATTAATTACATTGGTGTCCGATATACTCGTAAATAATGTTAATTTGAGTTCATTACCTTGTCTGAAAGTGATTCGCATATACGGGAAGTTATATTTCATAGCCATAAGGTGATTCATATTTGATGCGTACGGTAGCGAATATAGAACTGAGAGACAATGCTTTGTTGAGAGGTTCGCATTCATACAATATGAGATTACATTGATCTAAGGCCCGTACAAGAGGGGTACCAGCCCACAAAAAATATTGTATACCTTAATAGGTACATACATTCCTATTATCGCCAAAACCAAAAAGTTAACAATGGATTACCTCGCATTGCTTTACATTACGATGTAATCCATACATATTACGGCCAAATACCGTTTCAGTCAAGGCCTCCTCAATATGTTGTTGATATGAACTCCTGTAATTTCCATATAATGTTGATTGAACTGTCAATTTTCAGCAAAATAGTATAGAATAATTTGTCAGATTTCTGATTAGACGTTAATTTGAATTGATTCTGCATTAATGTGACATAATGATAAAATAACCGAATAATGATTACATATGGCAGTCACTCGTAGCAATTTGTTCTAGTATAGTACTTTGGAATCACACATAACTTATTTTCATTTGAGTAGACCTTAACATAGATTGAAATTGAAAAACAAATGAATATTCTACCCATAATATCTGTTCAATCGATGCACCATTGAACATCTAATATTGGCCGTATAATCTATCATAATAATCAATAGTTGTTCCATAGTCTAATATCGGTAATTTTATATTATATTAGTCTTCGAGCGAAAAATCGAACGGATTATTCAATTGTGTTTATCAATTTATTATTGTCCCAAATTTACACAAATATCTACAAAAACGGAATTAATGAAATCCAACAAAACCGAGTCAGTTACATAATATCGAGTCTATTAAAATCACCACACGAACTTTTAACAACACCGTTTTCCTAGCTCTCCGCGCACAGCAGTCTATCAATATCTTCAATACCAAAAAACTTTTAGAATCCTAACCATTTTGTACAGTACAAACTTAAATTATAATATTATATACAAAGCGTTTATACCTCAGTTCCGTATGTATTGCGCGTGAGGTCAGGATAGTTTCCACACATTTATTTATATAACGGTAGTAAGTAGTATGTTAAAACACCAGTTGTTAGAAAACATTGCAAACCTTAACATATAATTTTTGTTATTGATGATTATTATATTTACTGACGAACACTAGAAGGACACATAAGTGCGTGGGTGCTTTGTACAAAATTAACAGCACATTCTATGGTATTACACAAAGATCAAACGAGTAAGACAATATTTTAACGGCCAGTTTCAATAATCAACCTCCGGTAACAGTTAAGGATAATCTGGTTATCGTTTCTCATCAATGACTTATTATAGTCTTAATAATCAAAATGTCATAGCAACAATGCTCTATAGGTAGATCGCTTAACTGAGTCTTCGCCTTTTTTTTTTGAGTGTGTATCGTGTTGGGCGCAGATGACCTTTACAGCGTCACCGAGTTTGGGGACGGCGAGATCCTAGGGGACCTCAAGGCGAGACTTGGAGAGTGCCTCTAGAGGTATTCCAGGCGGATGGCATCTCCCCACGGGGGGAGTCTCCTCTTCGTCTGGAGCCTCTAGACCACTCGAACCTGAGGGGGTTGGCTCAACTAGAGGGCGTCTCTGAGACTCGGAACTCGGCTCTAGTTAACCGTTGTCGTGGGGTGTCCTCGCCTGCGGGGTAAAAGGTAAGACTAGAACGGGGGCCGTGAAAGGTGCGGGCGGCGGGCGCTTGTAATTTTGATGATTTTTGACAAGAATGTGCCTACCGCCTGCACTTTTCACTGCCCTCGTTTTCGTCTCACCCTTTACCCCGCAGGCGAGGACTCAGTTAAGCTGTCTACCTATAGTAGACCCACCTCGATGGAGTTTGATTATTGAAACTGGCCGGTAAGACAACTGTTTCCAAGTAACGGACCCAGTTATCCTTACCCTTTACTGAAGATCGATTATTCAAACTGGCCGCGAGTCATTGATTCAGTTGAACCAATTTAAAATAATTTTGGGATTTTATACAAGTATAAAATGTGTTTTTTTTTCTCAGCATAAGGTTCACTATAGACGGACTGCTCGGGGGGAGATAAATACACAGTCAGCCAATTTAATATAGGACCCATGTCTCTGAAATATTGTATTTAGAACATTCGCATTGCAATAAGGTCGAAATTACTAGATCAATAGAAAACATTCTTACTTTGTAAAATTTTGTGATATATCGTAGAGAACTAAAATCTTTTCGAATCCAATAACAGCGTTACTAAAGTCTATAATTATCTAAAACAGCTATCAATTTTCCAGCATTTTTTTGACTGGCCTTAATAGTTCATAGTACTGACTAGGATCTCAGCGCTGACTTTATTTCGCAGCAAACTCGCAGGGCGAGTGGCATTGGTTACTAAGTTAATTTTGATTTAATTTACAAATTCTAGTGGGGGGTGAAAATCGTATTGCCTGAGCAAAAACTTGGTCCGCCATAGATTCTGATAGTAAATATTGGCACGATAAGGAAAGTTTGCCCGTCCCTGTTCTAGGCAGTAATCAATTTCATGCTGTTATTTCTTAGTCCATTCCTAATAAAATATAGTTTCGATGCAGCCCGTCTGAACATATGATTGAAATAAACCTAACTTCATATAACGCTTAAATAATTACATACAAGCGCATTGCAAGCGATAACAAAATTCACTAAAATTGCTTTCACCACAACCTCAGACCACTACAAATGTTAGAACTACCAAATAATATAATATACTTTAAGCATTTCTGTACACTTAGCACGTACCAATATCGAATTTAAATAGTTTGCGAGTGCGAAATGTCTTAGTCAAATGTGTACTAAATTTTAGTTCTTATTCTATGTTCTATGTCCGTTATGGCTAGGGCTGCCATCCGTCCGGGTTTCCCCGGATTTGTCCTAGTTTACGAGGCGTCCGGAGAGCGTCCGGGCGGGGTTTTATTTGTAGTCCGTGTTTAAAAATTTACGGCAACGCATGAGTGGTCCTAGGTGCTGCAAGTGTCCATGGGCAGCAGTGACCACTTATTATGAGGTAGACCGCTAGCTCTTTTGCCTAGATCAACATAAAAAAGTTGATTTGTGACATTTTAGCTGTTTTTTTATTGGTCTGTCCGGGTTCTGGGCTTCAAAATCCGGGGTTATCACGCGTCTTATCCTGGTTGCCATATTTTAGAGATGGCAGCCCTAGTTATGGCGCTGCTGTTCAAGTTTCCAAACAAAATTTGACACTGACATTTCGCAGCCGCAAACTATTCGAATTCGATTTTGGTAGGAAGGGTACAGATATTCGATCATAAGAGATATGGTCTGATTATTCCAGTATTTAGAAGAGTTCTTTAATACAAACGAGTACTTTACGTGAATAAATTAAACCTTTGCGCTCCCTTAGTCTGGTCTGTAAGGAATTAAATTCACGATAATACAAAACATATTTAAGTGGCTAAGCTACGACAAGATAGGCATTAAGTAAGGATAGACATTTTGAATAGTCTTAAATAAATTTATGACATTATTAACCGATTTGTGACATTATTGTTCGTAATAAAAACATTTTGTTGAAGTAAAAAAAATATATCTTTTTTTCCGTTTCAATAAATATTACGATATTTTTACAGAGCTCAAAATATTACCAAATAATTTAGAATATATGTCGTAACTAAAAATTAAATGTCATTTCTAATTTTGTAGTGATTTCTGAGGGTGTATATTGGCTTATAGTAACCAAATAACACTTGGACCGCGTTATACAAAAAATTGTAAAACAGAATCAAAATTCAATCGAATACCAAAACACAAAAATTATGAAAAATCTAATTCTCAAAAGAAAACAATTCAATTTTGCATTATTAACTAGAAATGAACAAACTACCCAAACATAATGAAAATTCAGTTTTCCTATAGCTGAAACATTTCTGCATAATACGGGCCGTATTACAAGCCATTAATGGCATATTTGACTACAAACAAAATATATCAGAGTGTCAAAAGTGTTAGTAGGAGGGTATCAACAGACGGGAGAAAAAGCCTCCACGTGATCATAAGAAAGACTTACAGGTTAGAGAAATCTTCACTACAAACGATGTAGGTTCAAACTCACCATCGGTACAGCGCTCACGGCACTCAGGTACGTTAATTAATTAATCTGTTTGTCAAAGTGACGTATTTTCTTATGCTATCGCAATGAAAGAGAAAGCATCAGCTTTAATCAAACTAAAATATTAACTAACGTTTCTAAGTACACCCGTGAGTCGTTTAGCTTCATTTCCTAATGTCAATTACATTACCGACCGAAACTAACGATCACTAATAAATAGGGGCCCCAAGGAAATTTCATAATGTTAATTTCGAAATTGTATGTTAAATTGAATACAATTATTCTTTGGATAACCGTACCGTGAGAGTTGCACCTTAACACCAAACGCAAACGTAAGCGGCGTAGTATCTTAAACTACAGTTACTGACAAAACAAAATGAGTCTAATATGTATGAAACAAAAATTCATGATCTTCTCCTAAAATCACAATAATAAATTCCAAATTTCTTGCAAAAAACAGATAAGCCTATATATATAGCTATGAACAGGATTGTTACCATGTACCTTGTTTATTATCATTTTATTTCATTTCGTTTTATTTTAACATCTACCCGCAATTACTTCAGTTACCCCCTTAGATTAAAACAAAAAGGGTAGATACGGTACGCTCATACTTGCATCAAACAAAAACTGATCCCACGGCAGCGCGAACGGGACGGCGAGATCCGCGTCACTGCTTTACCGACCCGAACGAAACAGCACGTTAAGTTTCAACGGGAGCGCGAACGAGACGGCGAGATCCGCGTCACTGCACTATCGACCAATCACGCGACTAGTACTCGACGTCACTACCGAATAAGATTCAAAACAAACAGCATTTTTTATGAAAAAATATATTTTATAGTACTTGCGAATGAAAAGTGATGCCGTGGGTTTTATTTTTAGTTCTTGAGCAATTTCAGTACCTTTTAAAAACATACTTAGGCATTGTTTTATCATATAATCACAAAATATTATCAATATTTCTTTTTGGCGTTTACATGTACGTCGTTTGCATGTCAAGTTGTGACTAAAGCGATTAGGGTCGTGGACCACAATTTGTGCGGATCATTTTTGTGAGGCTAGTGCCGTATCTACCCTTTTTGTTTTAATCTAAGGTTACTCCGTGATCAAGACGCTTGCAACAGTAACAATCCCGTTAATAGCTAAAATATTATTGACCATGAAAGTTTAAAACAATTTAAGCCTATCTTTATATATAGGTTAGTTCTAGTTTAGTCGTTGGGTCATCTAACAGTTGCTATGTATTTGTTTCATAATGAATATTTTTCCCATCTTTCTTAATGGCTACTTCGTGGCACTGTTTTACATTTATTCAATCCGTATTTAAAATAGGGATGACGAAACACTTTGTTTTTCTTCATCTATAAGGTAGATTATCAAAAAGTATTGGACACGTATTTCTTCTTTATGCACTTATGTATTTACGTGTCAAATAGTTTTTCATTTCAAATCAATATATTCATCAATATAACCTTATTATTCTGTCTTTCGAATAACCAAAACCTTACAGAGATATATTGACTTGAAATATCGCATGACGCCACATCTTGGTACAATTTTTACTTAGAAGTGACATCACGAGCCCCACACTTTGACGCGCGTTATTTTTGAAATTTTTTGGTTGAATGACAAAGGAAAAAGTATGTGTCCAACATTTTTTAGTAGTAGGTAATAGTCTTACTAGTGTCGATTCTGGCATGGTTCTCTAAACTTAAAACTAAATTATCATCAGTCTATCCTTTTCATTCTGTATAGAGAATGACAAGGATACACTGTTATCAAATTTAAGTTTAGGTTTAGAGAATCCTGCCAGAAACGACACCACTGTCGAGCTAAATAGAATTTCGATTACTTTACACTGTCATCATCCCTATTGCAATTCTTTACATATCAAGCAAGATAAAGTTCAAAGTCGGTTGGAATAATTCGGCAGATTTGAATAACTCGATGAATGGATGAACTATTAATAAAAAAAAAGTTTGCACGGATCACACATCTGAAGTGAAACGTCTTTTCTTAAATAACCTAACATTAGGCGGTGCATAAGGCATAGGGGAATGGAGCAGCGCACGCATACTCATATATATATATTGTCGCGGGTGTAGCGTTCCAGTAGTCGCTGAGTTACTCTTTCCTGCTCGTCAGGACAGAGGGAGGTGCGACACATAATAAAATGGTAGGAAAGTCAAAACTGTACATTGAATATTTTTTTTAAAAGAATACTTGGGGTGTGATCTACAATCTATACCGAAGTCAAAAATATAGTTTATTGAATTTTCGTCTGTTAGTCTGTATGTATGTCCGGGATAAACTCAAAAAGTACTGCATGGATTTACTTCAAATTTGAAACGAATATTATTAAGAAGTCGGGTCAACATATAGACTACATATTATCACGCTATCACCTAAGGGGAACGAGCAGTGAACCTTTATTTCTAACTAGCTCCACGAGTACGTAGTCGTTAGCGGCCACTAGTATTATATATAGTCGCGTTACACTCTGTCCAAAAAGTTTAACTTCAAAAACATAATAGAGTTGCCAGTTTCAAATTGTTACAGTAGTCTTCATCATTATCTGTAATAGTCTGCACAGAAGCGAAGCGAAGGCGGGTCCTAGTTTATCTATGTACTTATATTTTAAAGAAGTAAAGATTGCGAGTTTGTTTATAGAACTAATCTCTGGAACTAATGGACAGATTTTGAAAATATTTTATTCCTGAGTGTCATGGGCTATATTTTTCATCTCGTTCAAATAAATTTATCAGTGCAAAGTCATAAGTAATATAAAAAGGAAAAGATTTGTATTTTTATAACGAATAAAATTACAAACTACTAGACCTATTTTGAAAATTCTTTCACCCTTAGAAAGCTACATTATACCAGAGTGAAACTCATAATCCCGTTGCATAGTTATAAAAAGAAAAGTTTAATCACGTGGCCTTATAAAAATTCCGTGGCTGGACTTATTATTTCTCATATTTGATCATGTCAAAATAAATTTCATCCGTGCAAAGTCGGGACGGATCGCTACATAGGTATGTAGCGATCCTTTACATATTATTATATAGGTATATAATATAGAGGTTGTGAGTTTGATTGTGGGAAGTAATCAATGAAACTACTGCACCTATTTTGCAAATTCTTTCATCGGTGAAAAGTTACATTATTCCTTACAGATAATTTATTCAGTTAAATTAAATTTTACCGCGGATCGTTAGTTTATGTAAAAAAAATGAGTAAATGCAACTACGAATATGTAAAAAAAAGTACGTTAATTTATTTACATACAACAACAACAAGACAATCTAGAGAAATATGCCAAAAACACATTTTCTGTAAAATAATTCACCTTCCTTGGATTTTTCTAAACGATGATATTTTCATTATTTGCTTTGTATCACATTTTTAGCATACTTTCATTCTCACTACTCATGAAATGCTCTTTTTTTTTTATAAAACCAATGTCAATATTCCAATGGAAAAAACCCGAGTATTTCGCGCGTTTGTAGTTTTCTACTAACTTTTTTTTATTTGGCGAGCGCGCGGTTTTCACCCTGTTTTGTTCATTAAATAGACGTGAGATCTCTTTGGTGATTGGAACACTTCCTAACAATATCCTCCTTCCTGATCCAAAAGGATTATTAATTCATATAGATTAATACGCTACTTTTGTCCCTGTAAACAGAGAACAAACTAGCTCTTTTCCAATAGATGTGATGAAAATAAAATTATGAATAAAGTTCAAGATTCAGAGCCGCTTACGTCTGTATTGGAATTTATTTTGGTTCCGGTTTTAATTGCTGACCGCGTTCTCGGTGGACTGTAGAACATTGTCGTCCACATGGTTGTCGTTCAGCTCGGGCTGGGTTTGGCTCTGGGGCTGGGTTTGGGGCTGAGCGGGCTTGAACGCGATCGCGTACGGGAACTTGGCGCGACACGCTTCGATATATCGTTCTATCTCTTCTTCGCACGGCCCGAAGTCGCCTTCCCTGAGGCTATCTAGGACTTCCACGCAACCCTGTGAATTTAAAGTATTTAAATTTTTATTAAGATTCAATGGTGTTGTGTTTTCGGCGATAAGTAAAGTTCAAGGACTCTATGGGGTAGTAGATAGGGTCAGATAATACACTAGTAAAGCAAACAAATATAGTAGACTATGGCGGCAGCTTAGCATCAGGCAATCCATACGCTTATCTGTCATTATTTTTAAATAAAAACGTAATTGATTTAAAACAACTAAAATCTTTATACATTGCTTCTCATAACTTAAAAAAAAAATACTGGGAAAAACATCCTTTGGTTGTTAAACGATTTATCGAATTCGAATAGTTAAATTCGATCACGATGGGTATCAAATGTAAAGAACTTCGTGCTTCTGATTTTAAATTGTCGTTACGTCCGTTGTAGAGCTGTTCCAGTTTCCTAAGAAAATTTCTCGACGACGATTCCCATTTACAAACGTAACGAATTCGATATTGGTTCGTGTAAAGGGTACAGCCGGCAATGGCGACGCGCTAATAACGGACATGTTGCTGCAGCAGGCGCGTGAATTCATTCAAATACAATTATTCAGTTTAGGCTTTTACAAGCACGTGCAAAAATCGGAAGCTACGCCATCTGTTCGCAAATCTACAGCGATACTACCTTGTACTAAGAAGAACCGGCAAGAAACCCAGCAAGGACTCCCTGGAAGAACTTTTTTCTCCCTGTTTTATTTGATACAGTGTCGTCAAATTGAAAGCTGACATCAAACTTATAATCATGTATTGAGGTCAACTTCAGACTACTACTTCTGAGGTTCTGTATGAAGTGGGGCGCATCTATAGAGCAACACAAAAGTAAGTATCCATACCGATATTTTTTTTTAAAAACAAGCTTTTATTTAAATGCGCTAAAAATAATAAAATAAAAATTTCTCTAAAAAAATTTTATTCATTACACAGTTTATATAAAATAAAAGCTTGTCGCCAGATTTAAGTAGGTACTGGTAATTAAAATATGGATATTTTACAAATTAAAATCAATCCGATCTACACAGGAAAATTTCACGATAAGCTTTTATATTATATAAATAGTGTTATGAGTAAAAGTTTTAAGGAAATCTTTTTTTTAGCGCATTTTAATAAAAAGCATGTTTTTAAAAAGATTGTTCGCTTTCAATTTTATTATATTATTATTTAATGGCTTCGCACAGTTTGTGTATTTTAGGAAATGTAAAAGGAAAACGGAAGGTATTCGAGATTTTGGGAAAGTATTTGGATCAGGGGGGTATATTATTGAAATGGGTATAGGTATATTATTGAGCTTTTCGGGCAGTGTTTTTTTTTTTGAGTGTGTATGCTGTTGGTCGCAGATGACCTTTACAGCGTCGCCGGGTTTAGGGACGGCGAGATCCTAAGGAGATCTCAAGCCGAGAATTGGCGAGTGCCTCTAGAGGTATTCCAGGTGGATGGCATCTCCCACGGGGGAGTCTCCTCTCCGTCTGGAGCCTCTAGACCACTCGAACCTGAGGGGGTCGGCTCAACTAGAGGGCGTCTCTGAGACTCGGACCTCGGCTCTAGTTAGCCGTTGTCGTGGGGATCGGGCAGTGTGACGTCACCTGTATGGAGAGGTCAGCGTAGTGCAGGGCGGTGGCGAGGCGCAGCGCGTGGGGCGCGCGGGAGGGCGCGAGGCGGCGCAGCTCCCGGGAGCCCCACAGAGCGCCCGCTTGCGACCGGAGCGCGGGGCCCTCTAAGTACTCCTCGGCCATTTGAATGGCGGTGCGGTCTTTGAACAACTGTAAACGAAATAGTTATTTATGATATTAGAGCGGTAAGTTGGTTATTACAAACGGGTAGACAAGTCGAGGGCTTACCATAGTCCATAGAGTTTTTCAACACATTTGCGAGAAAACAGTACCTAGTAGTAAACTTTTTCTCATAAGAAAATGGCGCGCATTTCCAAATGGCACTACGTGCGGGTGGTGAACGTTACAACTATATCTTTCGTCTCTTATTCTGTTCAGTAATAAAGTGAAACAAAGGTATATATTAAGAGCGCTTCCAAGGGGGTTCGACTGAAATTTTAAAAAACCATAAAGGGCACGCACTGCGCCGTGTTTACTACACACTCCGTTACCCGCCCGTAATTTTGAACTTTCGAAAAATGTATAAAACCTCCGAAAATGCATTTTTTGAGCAAATAAAAATAGGCCGGCTCGAAACATATTTATCCAGAACGCCGCGACCGACGCTCGATGTACTCTCGACCTAAAGCACCTAAATACGAAGGCTGTATAGCAGTCCACATGAATAAAAGCACTGCTTCGGTAAAGGTGAAAGTGCAATGACAGCTGCCTAGCCTACTTGTTCATAACTATCATATGCGTGCTATCTGCGTTAAATACTCGCCGGTGCTAGCAAGTTTGAACCGAACGTGTAAATCCCATCAAAATCTTTCTAAAGTTTCACCGTCATGTCATCAAATTCAGTAAATATTCACATAAGTAAGATAGCTCACCTGTTGGCAATTAGCTTGCACTACAGCAGCCACGCTTTGGTTCATCGAATGTAATGCCGAGTCCAGCCAGCACCGGAACCGGACGAGGCAGGAATGCACGTGGTGATGTAAGGGGTCTATCCGCCACGCCCGCTTGATGCTCTGCAGCATCAGTAGCGGCCGTTCTGATGCCAAGGAAACATGACATGTTATATAACAAGTATACTCGTAAGAAGTACCTTGGGATCAAGCAAGTTTTCATTAAAAAAAACCAGTGTGCTTATGACCACAGGACACACTACTGAAGTGAAACTTCTTTAGCTCCATCTGTATGTATGTATGTATGTATATATGTGTGTATGTATATATATATATATATATGTGTGTGTGTGTGTGTGTGTGTGTGTGTGTGTACAATATATACACTTATTTACTTATACATATAACATTTACTAGCTATAAGAGAAAGACAGAAAGAAAATGTGCGCGCGCAATGCTTTCTCTTGCTTATATCCCCCGCTGAACTCCCATTCGCCTCGCCCGATCACACTATTCGTAACGTGTTCGCCAGCTTACTCCCCAAGTCAAGCGTGCTTAAAGAAGTTTCACTTCAAAGAATGCCAATCATCCATTTATTAAATCCAGTTGGCAAGGAAACTCATCACGATATACATTTATTAAGTATATTTGACTATTGTTATTTTACGCTTTACATTGTTCTGTACAAACTAATTGCAAATAAACATTTTTATTATTATGTACTTGTCAAAAATTCACCAAAACTGTTTATGGTTCAAGTATGCAGTAAAATAATTGACAATTTTAAAATCTAGTTTTTTTAAGATTATTTTGTACTTGAATCCCTTAAACAACTTTTCTTATTCAGTCATAGGTAAACATGTATCATTATGTTATTTGAAAACAATAATGCATGAGTAATTTTGGCGTAAAAACTTAGTATTATTATCAGCAATTCCTGTGCGGTTAAGACTATTTTTGGTAGCTATTCACCTCCTACCCCCACGCAAGAAAACGTAATTACGTATTTTGCGACTCCATCCCACCCCCTTGTAAGAAAAAATAAGACATAGTCAACCTAGACTCTAATGTGACCAAAGCCATTGTGAACTAAATGTTGGTATGGATAAATTTCAATAAAATTCAATCACAATCACGTTTTGGCTGCAAAATTCCCAGTTTCGGGAGGAATTTATTGTACAGTGAACAACACAAAAATTTGTTACATGCCATCTATCGTGATCGGATTTCTTTAAAGAATAAATAAAATTCCAAAGTTCTGATAAACACCTAATTAAAAATGGCAAGCAGGTGTCGGGTAAATCTTAAATAATTATAAGATGTGAATGTCTTTCACTTAATATCAAAGTATTTACCTGATTTATGAATGGCAGTCAGTAGTTTTCTCACTGGTTGTGTCTCTTATATTATCCAAAATAAAATTCAAAGTCAGTAGAACAAAATTACCTGTTGCTGACTTTTGTGATTCGATTGTGGCTCTTTTACCAAACAAAATTAATCTCACAGCGAGTTCGAAAAATTTTACATGTTGCCGACTATTTTTTGAATTACTTAATTATTAAAAATAATTTTTAATACCTTTCCTAAAGTATATTTCGAAGGCCATTAGATGTGTTTCTATTCTATCCGCGGCGAGTGTCCGCAGTGGTTGTAGGAACTTGATTGCTTGCTGTAGGGGGTCCTCTGCCTGAAACACATTGTATAAATGACAAATAACACATATATAGGGAGCCCGCTTAATTGCTGTGAAACAATTTTTCTGGTTTAGGGCAAAACTTTTTTTCCTACCGTCTACTTTCTCTAAAAATACTATTAGGCCGTGCTCTATTAGGCTTAACGCAGCGCAGGCCCTTTTTACCTTCGTAAGAACTAGAGCAATCCATTGTTACCTTAATTACTATTACTACATGGAAGACAACGAAACTATATAAGATATTAAGAAATAAACACTAATTTTGAAATAAGATTACTTCCTATTAAATGTCTTACTGTCATTACAAAGTAAGTACTCAAAGCATATCATTTAATACATGGTCCGCGCGATGCTAAAACAAGGCAGCAGTATTAATTAAATAAAACAAAAGGTCGGATTATATTATAATTATTTAATAATACATTGCGCACAGAAATCGTGACATGATCTGTCATGCATGGTCCAGCGTAAATGCTAGTAAAATATAATGACTATATCATCAGATTATTAACAATATGATATACCTTTACAAGTACTACTACCAGGCGCACTAATACACGCGTAAGGTATTTTGGATATATGTTTGAGAGAGGAAGGGCACAGCGGATTTTCCGCTGGAATTGGAGCGCTCGTCTGGGGAAGCAATCTCCACCTTACAGAAGATCGCAGTAAAATGACACCCTTTGGTGATGTTGTGTTTCTGCTAGTGAGTAAAGTTCCAGGTTTCCGCGGGGTAGGGTATTGGATTCAGGCCGGCTAGGTATGGATGACTGAAGCGGCACACCTTCTGCCGCATCATCCTATCTTCGTGACTGGACTCCACTTACACTTAAATTCAGGTGGGGTGGGGTAATTTGTTGCGCCTCGTATAAAGAAGTGAAGATTTATGATCAATAACTTGGTATGAAAAAATCAACATCTTGCTGCTCTGTGCTGTGCTGTTTTAGTTAGCATACGCAGTCGTTATTGCCGCTTTTTCAATCCGCACCGATGGTTTATTCCCGTTCTCCCTGTGTTAGGGATGTTCTCCCAGTAAAGGGACCAAATTAGGTATTTATTGTTTTAAACTTTTAATGTAAGTAACATTATAGTAATTTATGTTACTTAAGGGAGACGGGAAAATTAGGGATTTTCCTCACATAGGGGAATAACATGTGAGTTGCATTTTTTTAAAGCTCCAATTTCTTAACAGTATTTGGGTTTTAAAATCACTATCTAGCACTTATTATTGGAATAACATTTGACGCTATAATAATAACTTTTTTTACTTTAGCTTTAATAGTAAACATTTTACACGATTTTTAGTAACACTGTCTCCCAGCAAAAGAGACACCCACAGAACACAGAAAAAGTTAAGAAGGGCCTTGTGGGCTTGACCAAAACTTGGTTCTGATTGCGTCGTTGCTCTCGGGTGTGAGCGCTGATTGGTTCGATTGTTTGATTTCGCGTCGTTTAATTGGCTATTATCTATTACATAGAAGTGGGACCGAGCCGTCGACATCGGTTTCCGTACGAACGGTCCATGATCACCCTTCTAACCTCTTTCTGTGTTCTGTGAAGACACCAGTAACCCAAGTACAAACAACTAGCGAGAAAGTATCCGTATCGTCACGTTCAAGTTTCAATGAAACAAGCTAGTTTGTTCTTACATCCGAAGAGACGCTGCTGAATTTCCATAGAAACCTTGATGTCGGTGATATAGGAACACGAAACTGTAGAAGTTCGTGCTTGGGCTAGCGCCTATTTTTTTGACGTGATAACGTCTTAAAAATCTTTGAACACTGGCTGCACGCACGGTAAAGTGTGACGGCGGTGTGTGTGAGCCCTCCCCTCTCCCACTATAAAAGTACCTCACCCCAGCGAAGTCTATCTTAGACCCCCATAGAGGTACAGAGGTGTGCTTGTTATGCTCAAACGAACCGAAACAAAAAACCCCACAAAACTGCCCCGAGGAAAACAGCGAACGACGCGTTATCACGTAAAATTATTGACCCTAAACCGACTTCAGAGACAACCAATTTATTTTGTTGAAAATAAGTTTGCTTACTCTCGCCAACTTGTCAGGTATGAGCTCGTCGAGTTGTGGCGCCTCCGGGTCTCCTTGCTCCTGCTGCTGCCGCGCCTTGTGATGCTGTTCTCTTTTCACCTGCAACAGAATATAGCGACCATTTTATTATTATCTTATACGGCTATACGTATTTGCTGTAAAATTATCAGCGGTTTGTGCTTATCAAGCTCATCATCATTAACTCATGCTTGTCCACTGCTGGACATAGGGCTCCCCTTATGCATGCCACTGCTCCCGATTTTCTGCAACTCTCATCCAGCCCACTCCAGCCAGCCTACGAATGCTAGTTCGTATGCTGGTTCAGAATGCGAATAAATGTTATCATGCTCAATGGGTAATAAATAACAGCTGCTGGTAAATTCGCAAATGCTTTTAAGACAAAATAATAATAAATAATTTGAGGGCTCCACAAGTTAGCGGATTGGGTTCAGACATCATCTATCTTCGCTACTGGACTCCACTTACACTTAAAATCAAGCGGGCTGGAATTTCCTCTATCAATAATTATAAGGTTACATAAATATGTATATTCACCTGAACCTGTGCCGCGAGTGCGCTTTCCTGCTCCGCTTTACGTTTCGCTTTCCTCTGTTTGTTTCTAAGTTTCTTCAACTCTGAAGGTGCTAAGTTTTCTGCGAACAAAAGTTACAAGGGCTCTTTACTGCATTGTCCTTCGAAAACATTTAACAACACATAAGAAAGTGTTGGAATTTGTCATGACATGATTCTTAATACATTTTGTAGATCATGATGCCGTTCTATTTTCGTATTTATTTGGTAGACTCCCTAATCACAGCAATCTAAGTAAACTATTTAACTGAGAAACCATCAGAGAGATGATGAGGGTATAACCGCAAATTAAAATGCTCTTGTCAGGTTGAGTTTCTGTCGTTGATCAAGTATTAAGAACTTCACTACCTGATGTAAAGTAATAAAGAATTTGGTTCAAGCTGGGAATGATACAGTTGCTGGAGCGGAATATTACTTCCGCTGGGCCAGGGTATATTACGTCTCATATAAAAAGAATGCTCAAAAAAACTTCAATCTCACAATCATATTGTGCTTATACCATGAAGCTAGTGAGTCTGCCTAAGGTATTCAGGTGAGCTATGCACGGCAGTCAACAAAGCGTCCGACACGTCGATTCAATATCAGATAGCTAGCAGATACCGCTGCATTGCGCGAGTTATGTGCACAGCAGCCCACGCCCACTATTGTGAACGGGCGCTACGATCACGAAGACAAGCGACCGCAAGTGCTATTTACACCTATCTGTACGCATATATTTCTAATTCCTTCATTTCTCTGTTTAACCTATAGGTACTAAATTTTATTTAAAAATCTTGTTGGTTAGGCCAACAAGAAACCATCTAGGAAGCCCACTCGAATTCAAAAAAATATAGAATGGGCCCAGCCATTTAGTAGGAGTTCAATAAGGAAAATAGTAAATGATCACCAAAAAATATAAAAGGTTAGACTAGCAAACATAAATACAACTGTATTTTTTGTGATTATTTTCTATTTTCCTTATTGAACTCCTACTAAATGGCTGGTTTGATGTTCATTTAAACATGAGCCGTTCAATAACATAAAAACGGGCTACAGAAATCAATTTAAAGACAAACAAAAAATGGAAATTATTTTCAAAGAGAATCTGATTTCAGTAAGTAATAAATAATTTATTTGAAATCGGACTTGAAACCACGTCAACTTAAAATACAAAACAATAATATCATAATTGCAAAAGTAGAGAAATTAATTTGTCAAAGACACGTTAAAATGATAATAATTCGTTAATCCGATATAACATCGTTACTGTATATTCTGGTGTTTTTTTTTTCATTTTCATTACAAAAGAAAAATCAGGCGTACGTAATGAAAACCACGACCGAATAACAGTAATAAATATTCGTTTAACAACTTATCAGCTGTCACACATATTAATAAAATTGAAGGAATATAACAATTATTAAAAAAAACTATTGTTGTATCTTGAATGTAACGAATATAAATCATACAGAATTAGCGGCATTTAATTGCACCAATCATAAACTGTTTAAAAGTCCATTTACAAATCACGGGAACACAAGACCGTAATAAAATGTCCCTCATCAAACAATGGTGCGTGTTCATTAAGGCCAAGCGTAACGTAGGGCAGCCAATGTCAAAAGGAGAACATGCACTTTTTTACGACGAAAAGACATAAACGCGTTGTTGTTATAAAGTTAAACCTGATGTAAAAATAAAACCTTTTGAATAGTCAAGTTTTTTTTCTTCTTATTTAGCTTGAAATAGCGTTGAAATGTTTATTAGAACTTAAATAAGACACAAGAATTTTCGAAAGCAATGATGTCAACTTCTAGTCTTAGATGAATGACTGCTATAGATCATATAGAGCATGATTAAGATATGATAAGATATTGTGAAGTCAAATTTAAGGTTTAACGAATTGTGCTAAAATTAGGTACCTACATTGTAGTGGCAACCCTAATTTCATGCGTCTTCACAGAGGGGGCGTTATTGAGCCAGTTTCGTAACGTGTTTGCGACAGTATGCGTATACGCAGCTACACCCTGAGAAACAAATAGCTCACTTTTATCCCTCATTAAAATAGCGACCGAGATGTTACCAACGTTGCAGAGTTTTATCATCAAACTGGGGCAATGCAATGTGCAGCGATTCCATACGTTTACCCAATAAGCTTGAAATATAATATTGCGTTGGTGGAATCGTTGGCAAACTGAGAACATTGTCCTTCTTGTGAAAGAATATATACCCGCATCAAAAATGAGTCGATGTGGTTGTGTTAATTTGGCTATTAAGCATATTTCTCGTTTCATGGAATGCAATTAATTGTGCGAGTGTTTTACATATAAACCTATTGATACAGTGGATTGCGCTCACGGCATGCTCTCACAACACAATACGTGCTAAATCTGCTGATATCGAGACTTGCATTCCATTGCCCTAGTGGCCAGTCACGTTTTAACAAAAATAAAACACTACACAGTACCTAAGGAAATACGTTTAAGTAGTCGTAATAAGATAAGAATGTTTCTTTTCATTTCAAAGATCCGCCTGATGATAAAAGGCCTCTACATAGCCAAGTTTGAACAGTTGTGTCTAATTTTATTATATCACTTGTTTTTGGCAATCTTACTGGCTGGCAGGAACAAAACACCCTCGGAAAATTACGCATGCTCCGCCCACCGGCAGAAGCAAAGCGGAGTTATCCGGGACTCCTCCCCACTCGTTTCACCCAGCATGGTGACTCGATGAAACGAGTAGGGCCTCACCCTCAGTAACCTAGGATTGTAACACATGGTTGGTTTGTCAAATGGTTGATAAAAACTGCTCTGTGTATCTGTAGACATGATATGGTTTCAAACTATGACTAAAAATATTCTTAACAGAGGAGAGGGCATAGCGGATTTTCGTTTCGGTTTGTAAGGGCCATCTGAGAAAGTATTTGCAGTATTACAGAACTCCAAAGTATAATAGAATGACACTACTATAAGGTGGTATTGTGTTTCTGTCTCCGTAACGTTCCAGGGCAAGGCAGCGCAGGCAAGCCGACAATATGCGGGTGATTGGAGCGGCAAACCTACCTGCCATATCAGCAATCTTTATGATTGGACCTCACACTTAACATCAGGTAGGGTTAATTTACTGAGTAAAAATTTACCTTGTAAAAAAAAACATAAGCAACTTCAGTCGTTCGTTTCGCATTCAAATCTGTGTGACATGTTAAATAGGGTCCTTGGGGGGGGGAGGGGGTGAATAAAATCGTCTCGGTTTACGTAACGCATTGTGCATTAATCCGGCTAGGACACGTACACGTATACATAAATTGCTGCTCTAATTCACTTGTGTTTCGCAAAGGCGGCCGTGGCGCGCACTGTACGCCGCCCGCTGAGGTCAAGTTATTCAAAATATTTTCATGTTTGTTTGTGCACAGCAAAATATACACGCAGGCAATCGTTAATCCAATGATTTGAGTGCTGGAGCTATTTATAGATATACTTATATATATTAAGTATTTTCTTATTATTACAGATATTAAAAAAATACAGCCATTCTATTATGAATGGTTGATCGCAAAATTCGCGTAGTAATTTGTATTTAAATTATAGGCGTTCATTGGCTCACGATTTATCGTTTATAGAAGACAATGTACTGACCAAAACTCCAGCAATGTTCTGGTTTCCAAATATTCTAAACCAATAAAACATCATTGTTCTAAACATACTTGTAGGAATAATGTGAAGATTTCAGATACCTATGTGTGTTTTTAATAGTACACCAGTATCCGGGGATTTTTCCAGTAATTGTAAGTAGGATTTATTGCAAAAATCTATTTTGATCGGGAGAGATTTGCAACAGAAAGACATCAAAAAAAACACGAACACAGAGCTTCGTTAATCAATGAAAAATTTTAGGATAAGCCTTGACTCGTATGGTTAGGTTGATTAGTTTTCAATCGGCTACTATATTAGGACCGGGCGGGCAAAAATCGGTTGTGTCTACATAGCCGTAGGGTCAATCGTCCCCGTGCTCCTAAGGGCTTGACCACATGACCGCGGTGCGGCGGTGAACGGAAACGCACAGATATATAGTGCCGTGCTGAGCTGATGCACGGTACGGCTGAAAAGGGATTAGCGACCGTTGCCTTGCCGTGCATTTTAGCGGGGTAGTACCGTAAAGTGGACCCACTCAACACGGCACCACAAAAAATAAATGTAACAGTAATTAAACTACATACACACGTTCGAAATGACATACGCCCACAGAAGCACGTCTCAACTCTTAACACGCTCCCTAAACAGACATCGCGGTGCTGTCAGTTTCGTGTGTCATAATCATATTACGTGGCTGTCCGCGGACTTTTTAAACATGTCATGAAACTATTGCTTAATATAGCGCTTATAAATTTTATGACCATTATTGTCAAAATCAAAAAATGGGACTGAAAAGTTAACAATACTATCCAGTTCATGATTTGGAAGTGGGGCGGGAACAAGACTGAAATATGGAATTGATATTCATTTGTAATGAGCATTATATTTTTTTTATTTCTAAGTCTGTTTTTATTTTTTGTTTAAAAATACTTTTTAATTACAAAATTATGTTTGAAATCTAGTCTATTCGTTCGATTGTTTGATCTGCGATTTGTCACAGTTTCGTTTCCTGAAAATAATTGATTTCCCTAATAATCATCCCCCCCTTTCAACCGCATTTAAGGATCATTTCTGGGATAAAACTATACTTTGTATTTGGGACACAAACTATTTACATACCAAATTTCATCTCAATCGGTTCAGCGGTTTAAGGTTAGCGGTTGCGTGAAGAGGTAACAGAAAGACAATCAGACTTTCGCATTAATAACTATAGTGTGTATGGATAGATTTATTAAAGAGGCTTTATTTGGCTTCTTCTTCTTTTTCAATAACAATAATTAAATACCTACTAATTTTAGAAAAATTAAGTGAGACAATGCTCTAATAATAGCTCTAATAAGCTAACTAGCTAATTAACTATTTATTTCGCTTGAGACAACTATGAACTAGCTATGAATCTAACTAGTTATCTAAAAGAATACCGAAATATCTGAGACATTTACTAAACAAAAACT